TTTCGTCTCGCTCTCTTTGGTTCCATGGGTAAATTGGTAGAGGTCAGCAAGAAGAAGGTGCCATGCTTGGAGCTTCGAATTCAGGCTGCACAGTTATGGCAAGCTTTTGGTCCAACTCACAATGCTTTCCTAACCCACAAATGTACCATTTTCTTCCTGGGGTAGCTAGATAAACTCTATCATATCCAGAAGTTAGTGCCTTACTTTCATCTGCAGGCACAATGCAATAGTGGAAGGCAGTACCGTTCACTTTGAAGACATTGTGAGCTCCAAAAGGGTATTGAAAAACTACAGATTTTGATCATTAGATTCAAGGTCAAGCTTTAGTTTAAACGAAATAAAATCCTGTGTCCATCAAATAGTTAAGCATGTCATGGAGTACATTGATGCAAATAAACCGAGTCATTTTTGAACACCTTGGGATCTACTCATATTAAACAAATTACGAAGAACTACGTGTAACTTGATCCAATACGGTACATAGGCAGCTTGGCTTAGTTTGAAAAGAGAAGTCTGTCCAAGTTAAGTCATTTGACGTTGTAGTAGTTGCAAAGCTAAGAATTCAAACTTCGACCTTTTCTTTTCTTTATGAAGTTAGGATAAATTAGCCGTGGGGACATGTCCATATAAAAAATGGTCCCTTCCTCACGGCCAAGCCAACTCCCTCGAGGGGCTAGAGCTTTTTCTGTGAGCCTAATTTTAAATGAGAGAAGTTCAAGCCTAATTTTAAAACTCGTTTAATAAACGAGCCAATCTTAAAGAATGCCCTGTTCAGTTCATTGGACTCATGACTAGTTCAACACTTTTGTATGCGTATATAAACGAAAACGAGTTGAGCTTGATCTTAAATGAGTGCTGGCCTGAATTTCTACTTGAAAACAAGCTCAAGCTTGTTTCATTGTAATCAACAATCTGAGACAGAGTCGAGCTTGAGCGTGGAACAAAAATTAACGATCCGAGCTTTAAGAAGGTGTTTAAAACTCGTCACAATCTCAAATCTAGCTCGACATTGTTCACAACTGAACGAGCTGAGCTTGGGTAGCCTAATGCTCGACTAAATTCAGTTCATTTTTGTACGTGGTGATTTTTGCACAATAAAAAAATGGATAGATCTCTCTTTTGGCAAACTCGAGATTACCAAGAAAGTCGACAGTCCTGTGGCAAACAAAGGCGAAAAACGATATAAGGAGTGGTGATGAATTACTTTTTCAGCAGTCTGCGTGATTCCAGCATGTCGAGATGAATTCTACCACTCAAAAGAAATGTTAGAAGGGCGCCTGAATGTTTTCCAGCACGACCCCTCTGACGACCAAGTCAATATGTGAGAAAGGGAAAGGAAAAATATTGTTCTATTGCATGAGAATGATTTGCGTACATTTGCTTTGCATTTTTTAAAGCTATTTATACCTCCCTTAAGGTAATCTTTGTGGACAAGTGGGCCCCTTGAAGAGGGAGTCCCCCATTAGCTCATTTGGAAGGTAGCAAGCAATGCTCAGTCCTTAGGCAGAGAGCCTTCTATTTTGTGTGGAGAGGCCTAAGCATTAAATGTCCGGGCTCCCGAGCACTTAATGCTCTTTTGTTGGGACTCTCTAAGCAATAAATATGTCTCATCCTTCTGAGAGATCATTAAATGCCTCTCTATGATGGCTGCGTAATAGTAGGAGCATTTTTGTTCATTGACTCTCAATTCTGTGTTTTGTGCCTCGTGACTCATTAACTTTAGTCACTGGTTTGTCCTTTCTGTCATTTTGACTTCTTTGGGAAGGCAAGCCAATGATTATTGGTCAATTCTAACTTCAAGTAACGATAATTGTCAATTAGTCACCCATATTTTGAGGTCTTGGAGATGAGATGACGTGTCTAAAAATGGACCTCGGGAGAGTTAGTCACGTTGAGGACACGTGTCACAATCTAAGTAATTTGAGGGACCTTAATACTGAGGACATGTGTTACTCGCAGATGGACCAATGGACCTTAGTACCGAGAAAACGTGTCACCATCTAAGCTTTTCGAGGGATCTTAGTACCGAGAACTCGGATCGCCATCTAAGCTTTTCAAGGGATCTTTGTACTTAGGACACGTGTCATCTCCTATTGATTTTCAAAAGTGTCCCATCAATTTTGCAGCTCTATTCCGTTAGATCAGATTTGAGTTTTAGGAATACTATGCCGAGGGTGTTGCCAACCCGGAAGTCTTTGCCGTCGGCCCTAGCTTGGTAATCCAATGCCACGGTCCATCCCATTTCACCCCCAACTACGAAATCTTCAGCCAGAATGACCATCGGAGCAACAATGGCAAAAATGATTAATGCAGAATTGCAAGCCATCATAATGTTAACCATTTTGTTGATTAGTTTTGTGTTGCAACTGTTTGATACCAATCACAGAGAAATCAAATAAAATGCATACACCTTAGCTGGGCGCGGAGCCAAAAAATTGTGTCAAGGTGGATACAAATATTTCAACAAATTATTATTTTTTTCTTACAATTGATAGAAATATGACAATGATTTATTTAATTACATCATATTTAATACTTAAAAGTTCATTAAACCCACCATACCGAAATTTGGTAAGCCTAGTATATACAAATGATAACATTTTTTTTTACAAAATATTAACTAATTAAAATCATTTAGAATTGACTTGGATAAATTTTTGTACTTTTAAAACGTTGCTTAACAACTTTATTATTCTTTAGACACATAATCATGCTATCACTTTAGTATTTTATAAATCATTTGGTTGATTATGCAGTTTAATGTGCACTCTATGATTTTTACTATAATTAGCAAAAGTAAATGTCAAAATTACAAGTAAATTAGCGAATATGTATATCATGTCTTTTTTAGTCTTAAAAAATATAAAATAATTTTAGTATATTCAAAATTTATCTAGATAGGTACATAATCAGCCCAAAATGTGTCAAAAATTCATATTCATTTGATATAATTATACACTAATTAATGTGCCAAAAAAAGAAGGGAGGACATAATTAAAATTATTCATTTGATAAAAATGTACATTAATATTTTTGTCTTTGATTTTGGATGGACACAAATAATATATTATACAAATATATAATATACATACCTAAATAATAAATAAATAAAAATTGAGGGGGACACAGAATGGATTCATTGCCGAAAGACGGCACAGACTAATTGATCGATGAAGATGTAAAAACACATATTGGATATCCGAAACCATGTGAACAAGTTCGGAGATGTTTTGAAAGAAGCAAAAACACTTAGCCACGATGGCTAACTACTAAAATCGAGAAAATACTCTGCGTACGCCTCGACACCCTGTAGGCAAACTTTACTTTATTCCCTTGTATACCCCAAATACACTTTACCTCCCTAACATTTAAAAACCTCTCCATAACTCTTACGCGATTTGTAGACTAAAATGCAATGTAACATTTTCCATCCAACTTAATGGGAGATGTGTCCCACCCGAAGGATCTAAGAGTTGTGTTGTGTCAAATTTTTTTTTTTATATTTTCAAGACAAAAATAACCTTGTTAAATTTTAAAATTTGTCCAAACACCATTCTTTGAACCAACTCCGATCTTCCCCCCCCCCCCCCCCTCGGTCCCCTCTATCACTTTGGAGGCTTTTTTTTTTTGCAATTATGATTCGATTGTTGAAGGAATGGGTATAAATTTCTGTGTTGTGTGTGTGTGTTTTATGTGTCTGTGTGTATGCTATGTGTGGGTGGGTCGCCGGAGTGAAGAGGAGTGAGGGAGATCGAGAAAGGGACGGTGTTGTGTTTGTATGTGCCTTCCTACCTACGTGTGTTGTGTGTGTAGGTCAAAGGGACAAAGAGAGAGAGAGAGCTAGTAGGTTGTTGTTGTGTGAGCTCCAATGGTAAATCCAATATGGTGGTGGTGGTTCGTAGGAGTTGAGTTGGGATGTGTCGTCCACAGATTGTGTTGGAATGTTTTATAGATTAATTAAAAATAAATTAAGAAGGGTATTAAAGTCTTTTCGTTCAATTCTGTTAATTTGGATGAATTTTTTAATTATGCACTTTAGTCTACTAATCACATGAGGGTTATGTGGAGGTTTTTAAATGTAAGGAGATAAAGTAAATTTGGTATATACCACAGGGAGATAAAGTAAAGTTTGCCCAAACAAACAAGAAACACTTAACCATAAACATAGGCCGCGAATCCAACACTAAATCCACATAAAAATAATGGATTGGAATTTAGTCTTAACCGGTCAGACTCATCAAATAAATTGACCCACTTTACACCAACTTACACAATGTACATTAATACATTCATCAAATCCTACCACTATTGAACCCAATCATACTCAAAAAAAAAGTTTAATCTTGACTTCAAACGAACACTAACTATATACTTTAACACTTACAGGTCAAACATATTGTTGTGATAGAAAATAACAAAATTATCAAGCAAGGTATAACTACAACCAAAGCGTAATGATAATAGAAGACCAAGTTGGCAAGAATCCACCACTATGAAACCAATTGTATTCAATTAAAAATGAATTGGGTATAAATTAAACAAATTTTGAGATGACACGATGTGAACCCCACCGAGCCCGACCCATTAACAACCCTATTTGTAAACCATCTTAGTGCAAAAGCTTTCTCAAAGATAGAATTAGTGCAAAAGAACAATGACTTCTAAGAAAACTAATGAACTAGCACTTATTAATAAGAATTAAATACGTCAACGGTTTCTAAAGTGTTTTAAATCTCACTGTAGTATCCCAACTACTAACTGTCAAAAGGAAAAAATAGTACCATTGCTTTTCCTATGTTCCCAAAACTCATCCCAAATGGGAAGAAGCTCATTACAATAACAAAGTGAAGTACGGTTGTTCCACCGATGGGTAGAAAATAGTAGATTCCATATTCCAAGTCAATGAATTGTGAAAGGCCAATATTATATAGAGCGGTAAAAATAAATAAATATAACGAACCTCTAAATGCAGAATTGCGTATTAGGAGTATTAACCCAATTCAGATCACCAAACTCAGGATAACTCCTTCAATATTGTTAAGAGCTCTCTTTGCAATCTTAAATTTTTCTCCTGTGGATTTTTGGTCACTCACAACATACTTGCTGATGAAGAACACGATTCCGTTTTGAAGTGTTTCGTACTCGGGGGTGACAGCTATGCGCGTGAATATGTTCCAAAAAAGCCTATCTAGAAACTCAAAGACGGCCTCAAATAGCAATCGAAAATGCATAATCTTTTTTGAAGTTAGTTGTCTGGTGTCACTTAGATCCACAGCCTTCAAGACAGCAAGAGAGAGGCTAAAAGACGCAAACAGCTCGGCAACAAATTTTGATAAGTGCATTGATCTAATCAGCTGCATCGACTCCAATTCTTTGAAATGGTCCCATAAGCAGTACTGTGACATAATATAAGAGCAAGAAGACGACAATAAGACAAACAAATGTTTTATTCATTCACAATGCCCTCGTTCTGTGAAAGATGATACAAGGTGGTGTTCCATCAAGTATTTTTCATGCTTTCTACTCTTCATTATGTTATTCTTCTTCAGCAAGGTTAGAAATGCCTGATGGTTGTTATGCAAGATACCAAACTAAACTTTCTGTAAAAAAGTTAGGTCTAGCATGAAATGCAATACCTGTAAAGTAAACTTGTGGTTTTTGTCATGGCTGCACAACTTGGAAGCCAGAACACAATAGTACTTGTTAAAGACTTTCTCGTGTAGACAGCAATCCACTAGAACTCGCATGATTTCTCTCTCCTACAAATGTGTACAGAAAGAAGAAATGACAAGACAGAAAAAATAATAGCCAAATTGATAAAGATTTTTAAAAAGGACGTTACCTGCTTCCCTGGCAAATCCAACCTCAAAAGTTTTGCAAAAGCATCAATGTAGTCCTCCCCACTCATTATTATACAAAAGATTGCCCTTCTTGCATCTGTGTTCATCCTCTGTGCAGCAGCAAGTTGCAGCATTTTCTGGGCTTCAGGGACTTACCTGTCAATTGTGCTGGCAACCTCCTCGATATTTTCTGTAGAGGATGCCATATCCCCACACAACCACCATTGCGCTTTCTTGTCAGGATTAAGAAGCTTACTCCATTTCAGCCCTCGAATTAAAATGTCATCCACTCTTAACTGCAATAAGGTGATCGGACTACAAAAATCAAAACATGCACACCACACAATTTGCTTGCTAATTAGATACATGCAGAACTTGACTCTCTAAGATGCACAAAAGGATTTGATTTTATTTACATGGTCTAATCGTGCTGATCACTTGCGTCAGATGCCTCACTTTTCTTTAAATTAATTAAACTCATGTAGAAACAGTAAAATATTACCAGCAATACGACTCTACAATTGTACCCCTGAATAACTATTACTCGTATCTTTTCGTCCTTTTGCCTTATCTTCGCTAAACCCTTGATCAGAAATTAGTGTCATTGTTCCAGCACTATTCAACAGCGTTCCAGTGAGCAAGCTGGAAAATGTGGCAATGCAAAATGCACATGAAATAGTAGAAATGATTCAGTTAGCACTAACAGATCCGAAGTCAACACACAATCATAGACTGACACAACAATCTAAAAAGTTGACACATGGACTAAGAAATTGCATGGAGATGGAAATAGATACATGCAAAAATATAGTTAACTACAATCTCATAGAGGTAACACCAGAATTTTTGTCTAGTCCATTATAGATTTTATTGTGATCAGATTACTACGGCGTGTGTGTTCACTGGTGCAAACATATGCATTGCCGTACGGGCCATCCGCTAATTCATTATCAAAGGGACAAATGGCGTAAAGTGATTATTAAGATCACATAGATACCCATTTAAGTGCTCAAACTATCCATCAAGACCAGTACGAAAAACACCTTAAAAAACCAGGTAACTATTATTGGAGGAATTCTAGAAATGCCCCTGAAATACGCCAGTCGTTTTAAATTTTTCCATCAACTGCAATTTGCCTCAATTTTAAACTTGAACTTTTCAAAACATATTAATCAACCGGGAGAGTCTACGGTACCGGTACCGTACCAAAAAAAATGTGTGGTCATAAATTTTTTAAAATTTAATATTATTCAAATATGTGACTATAAATTTTTTGTCATTAAATATTACTCTTTGTTAAAGGTCATAACTTTGCCTATAAATGTAATAACATTACCTTAAAGGGTTGTAACTCACCTTAAATACTTGTAACCTCAATTGTCCTTTTTTGTCTGGTATTTTTACATTTACTACTAACCTAACAACCTAACCTTAAATGTAGTAATTTTATCATAAATAGTTATAACATCACATTCAGAGATAGTAATTTTATTTTTAGTTGTGGTAATCTTACCTAACGTTTAATTCCTAACCTTTAATTGTTGTACCTAAAAAAAATAAAATAACAGTTGCACATGACTAAAAGTAAGGTTAGCTAAGGTTACCACAACTAAAAGTAAAATTATTATCTTTGAAAGTGATGTTATAATTATTTATGATAAAATTACTACAATTATGTTATAAGTATTTAAAGGTAGGTTAGAAACCAGACAAAAAACGGCCCGGCTGAGCTTATAAGTATTTGAGGTTAGTTATTACTCTTTAAAATAATATTATTATATTTATAAACAAAGTTATGATTTTTAAGAAATAATATTTAATGATAAAAAATTTCCAGTCTCACGTTTAAGTAATACTAAATGTCAAAAAATTTATGACCACAGCTTTTTTTTTGGGTACGGTACCGTAGACTCTCCATAATCAATCCTTCCGTCCAAAACCCTGATTAAACTAACAGTTGCACATGACTTTTGGCAGGAACAAAAACGTTTCCTTGGGAAGTCCAAAATACAAAAACCCGACCAGACCCAGACCTCAGTAAAAACTCCTCCACCACCACAACCACCCACTTTCTACTACAAACCAAACACATGCCACAAATCAAACACACAACCCACGAGACAAAAACCACCAAAAACCGAGAATCAAGACACAATGGATCTTGACTACACTTCATTTATCGCTGCGCAGGAATGACGATGGCAGTGGTCATTGATCTGTTCTAGGATGATGTTCTAGGATGATTTTAGGAGGCGGTAGCGATCATGGTATTAGTGATAGCAGTGGTTGATATCTCCAACTCTCTCTCTCTCAAAAAAAAAAAAAAAACTGACCCCAAAAAAAAAACCTACTGATTGAAATATCAGACTCCCATTACTGTGATGACGGTGGTGGTTAAGTTGGACCTGGAGATGCACAAGAAGGGGTGGTTGGACAATGTGGATGATGCAGAGGACGTGGAGACACTTGGATGGTTTCGGTGATCATTTGGGGGCAGTGGTGTTTGGTGGAATCAAGGAGAGACAGTGGTAAGGAGTTCTATTAGGAAGAAAGAGGCTAGTCCGGAATATTTGGAAACAAGGCCAGATGTACTGAAGGTAGAGGTGGTTGGAGGGTGATGACAAGGGTGGAGGATGGGTGAGGTGGCTTTTCACAGATGAGGTTTTTCTTTACCCGGAAATGCCCGTAGCAGAACTTAAGCGCAACTCACATGTGGGCTTCTCTGTTAGTTTGACTAGGGATTTAGGCGGAAGAGATTGATTGATACGTTTCCAGAAGTTCACTGTTAAAATTGAAGCAAATTGAAGTTGAGGGGGTAATTCAAATCGAAGTACAGTTCAGGAGGCATTAGAAGAATTTTCCGTTATTGTTTTTAACACGACAGATGAATTTCTTTCAATTAAATCAAGCATTCTATAAAGAAGAATGAACGAAATATAGCCCCTCATTGTGTCACTTCGGGTCCAAACAACTGTCATAGTCTCATATGTCCTGACACAAGGCAGAATTTCAGTTCTTCCTCAATGATAGTTCTCTTCCCCCCTCCCCAAAAAAAACAAAAAAACCAAAACTCACACAAGTAAGCCTCCTTCATCTTCCACTTCAGCTGCACAGAAAGGCCCAAAGACAATCCCCAGGAACTATGAAGCTTCATCTATATGTGGTATTCCATAGATATCCTAGATTAAACATTATTTCCCTTTGTGTGTATGGGTGGGGTGGTGTTTTTTTTTTTTTTGTTGGGGCGGGTGGGGGGGGTGGGGGGTGGGCGGGGTCGTCCCAAAAAAAAAAAGGCATTTCTCCACAAACTCCAGTACTGACTGTTGGAGTATAGATAGTCTAGGTTTATTAGGATTTCTTTCCTAGGTTTATTAGGATTTCTTTTCCCTTTAGGATTTCTTTTCCCTTTTTTACCCTTACTATGATTTTTATATTTTGCCTATATATACGGGGTTTTACTCTTAATTTGAGTATCTCCTTTTACTCACAATTATTTCAAGTTGGTATCAGAGCAAGGTTAGGGTTTGGGGTAGGGTTAGTGTATGGCTCTACCAGCCATACCGCCGAAACCACCCTGGCCATCAATTGCCTGAAAGTTGAATAGGAGAGGTTAAAGTGACGGCGTCGTCGCTGTCCGCCTTGATCAAGCCGTCGCTTCGTCTTGGCCCTCGTTTTTGCCCAATCTCTTTCGTTCAATTTTAGGCCTTAGTCTTGTACTTTTCTGTTGATCTGCCCTTGATGCAGTAGATCACTTATTTATATATTTTGGATTTCTGGGCACCGTGACTTGATTATTTGGGAGCTTTTTGGACCTTCCCTATTTGTCGCTACTGTTCGACTGAAGGTATATTGTTCTCCCTTATTTTATTCCTCTATTTTAGAGTTATTTGGGAGCTTTTTGGACCTTCCCTATTTGTCGCTACTGTTCGACTGAAGGTATATTGTTCTCCCTTATTTTATTCCTCTATTTATCTTAGAGTTATTTGGGAGCTTTTGGACCTTCCCTATTTGTCGCTACTGTTCGACTGAAGGTATATTGTTCTCCCTTATTTTATTCCTCTATTTATCTTAGAGTTATTTTTCTGTCACGGGTGCCCCAGTATTGTCGTTGATATGACTACTACTGAGGGATTTGAGAACCCTACTGTTGACACCTCTACCGTTGAGACAATCTATAATGAATTTTGATTGTGAATTGAGTTGAGTTTACTCCTCTTGTTCTTGATTGAACTTTTGAATTTATCAAAGGTAAATCACATCCTTTGTGGCGTTCTTGCTTGTAATTTGGGTTCTTCAGACGGGTCTAGATTTTAATATAATCTAGGTTCTTGGAACGAGATCTCAACAGGTCTAGTTGCATTACCAGCATTACCGGGCATGATCTCTCAAAAAAGTTACGGCACAATTGTTGAATGGTCGTAACTTCGCTGAGTGGTCACGCTCATTCCAGCTTTTCTTAGGACGTGTAAGGAAGCTTGGTTGGCTGACAACATCTCACCCAAAGACAGCTGATGCCGACCCTGGATATTCTGCATGGTTCTCTGAAAACTGTGCCATTCTTGGATGGTTATTTGGCTCAATGGAGCCCTCTGTTTGCAAGATCCACCAGTTTCATAGCTCTGTTCCGAAGCTATGGAGCGCATTATCAGAGATGTATTCTCAGTCAGGACGGAGAGTTTTTGGCCCCTAATTTTGGGCATCCATGTTTGGTTTTATTCTCTAGATTAGAGAATTTTGTGTAATCTCCCTTTGTTGATGGTGAAACTTTGCTATTGCGTTTCACCCGTGGAAGCTACTTGCTGGAAGCTCCATCCAGAGCTTAAGCCACCTTCTCGCAACATGATCGCTGTCCAGTTGATCGATATGGTTGGACCGCAAAGATTTTATATCCGATCTCTGCTTATGTTTCTTATGGTAATCTGTCTCCCACATTTCGAGCTTATACTATGGCCTTATCAGATACGCTGGTTCCTCGCTCTATTTCGGAAGCTATGCGGGAGCCCCAGTGGGTTCTTGCCATGCAGACAGATATGGACGCTCTTCAGCGTAATCATACATGGGATCTTGTCTCCTTACCTTCAGGGGTGAGGCCTGTTGGCTGTCGCTGGGTTTACACCCTGAAGTTTCTTACGGATGGTACTATTGATCGTTACAAGGCTAGACTTGTGGCGAAGGGCTTTACTCAGGTACCAGGTCGTGATTTTGGTGCTACATTTGCCCCCGTGGTAAAATTGACTACTGTTCAGTTAATTATTTCTCTGGCTGCAGAGTACTCTTGGCTTCTTCATCAATTAGATGTGAAGAATACATTTCTTCACGGTGATCTGGACGAGATTATTTATATGGATGCACCACCGGGCTTTCGTGGTGAGGGGGAGTATGCTGGAAAGGTATGTCGACTGCGTAAGTCTCTTTATGGACTGAAACAGTCGCCACGAGCCTGGTTCTCTCGCTTCAGTGATGTAGTCATACGATTGGGGTTCACCAGGTGTCATTCTGATCATACCTGCTTTATTCGACGGAATACTTCTGGACAGTGTGTCATCATTCTGGTATATGTTGATGATATTATTATTACTGGTGATGATGTTTCTGGGACTGCACAGGTCAAGATAGACCTTGGGAAGGCCTTCGATGTGAAGGATCTTGGATTTTTGCGATACTTTCTTGGGATTGAGGTTGCCCGTAGAAGCAGAGGCATTGTTCTTTCTCAGAGAAAGTATGTTTTGGATCTTCTTTCAGACACTGGGATGCATAGGTCATGTCAGCCTCATCTTGATGAAGTTTATCATATTCTTCGGTACCTCAAGTCTTGTCCTGGACTTGGGTTGTTTTATGCATCAGGATCTCAGACCGATTCTCTAGCCTGTTATTCAGATTCAGATTATGGGGGACATTTGATGGTCGATCTACTACGGGTTTCTGTGCTTTTCGAGGGACTCATCTTATCTCTTGGAAGAGCAAGAAGCAGGCAGTAGTCTCCCGCTCGTCCGCAGAGGCAGAGTATCGGGCATTGGCACTTGGCACATGTGAGATTATCTGGCTACGATCGATTCTTGACGAGTTGGGTTTTTCAGTGACCTCTCCATCCACATTATATTGTGATAATCAATCTACTATTCAGCTCGCTTCTGACTCTGTACTACATGAGAGAACGAAGCATATAGAGATCGATGTTCACTTTCTTCGGGAGAAGGTCAGCAGTGGTCTTGTTACTCCATCGTTTGTGGGGACCAGTGATCAAGTAGCGGATGTTTTTACCAAACATGTCACTCTGTCTGTTCTTCGGGACTCCGTTGTCAAGCTTGGCTTAGTTGACATTTTTGCGCCTAGCTTGAGGGGGAGTGTTGGAGTATAGATAGTCTAGGTTTATTAGGATTTCTTTTCCTAGGTTTATTAGGATTTCTTTTCCCTTTAGGATTTCTTTTCCCTTTTTTACCCTTACTATGATTTTTATATTTTGCCTATATATACGGGGTTTTACTCTTAATTTGAGTATCTCCTTTTACTCACAATTATTTCAAGTCTGACATACCTGACATACATCAAATACGGCCACAACTCCTGTAAGAGAGTGTCATGCTCCATAACTGGTACCAAAAGAAAATTATAAACACATAGTCAAATCAGAGAACTAAAGTTATAGTAAGACCTTCTGCAGCCATTTCTTTATCCGGGTATGCTGCACGGTGTCTTCTTTGGCCTTTTTTAGTTGTTCTTGATATCGCATATGGTTTTTAGCATGAACTTTGATGGTGTTAACGCACTTTTATAAAAGATGAGTTGAGATTACGTTAAGTTGCTAAGATGATGTAATAATATCTAGGATTTTGGAAGTTAAGACAACAGAATTATAGTGGTTCACTAGCTTGAAAGTTCGGTTAGTCCACTCTGGAATGGAGGCTCATGCTCTTTTTG